CCCCCCTCCCCCAAATAAGCGCTTGGCCTTATTTCGGGGAGGTCTTATTATTTTTGAGGTGCAGGAGGTGGCGAGCGTGGTCACCTCATGGCTGCTGCTGTGTTGCAATATTTTCAGGGGAGAGCTTATTTTTGGGGAGGGCTTATTTTCGTACATGCACTCAAAAGCCCGATCAGGCGTATTATCCAGGGAGGTCTTATTTTCAGGGAAACAAGATACGATCCTTGACTCATGGCAACTGAGTCCAGAATTTATGTTGTTAAGTGAGAAATTTGTTAAGTGAAGTTTTGCTCCATTTGTTATGGGAATCGCTGCAATGATTGAATTAGTAACACGGTTGTTAGGGACGCAATGGTTCAGTGGCTAAGACGCTGAGCTTGTCGATCAGAAACGTCAACAGTTCGAATCCCTAGCGCCGCATAGCGGAGTGAGCTCCCGTAACTTGTCCCAGCTTCTTCCAATCCAGCAGTTCGAAAGCACGTAAAAAAATGCAACTAGAAAACAACCTTTGGTGGGAAGGTAACAGCGTTCCATGCACCTTCGGTGTTGAGTCATGCTGGCCACATGACCACAGAGACGTCTTCGAAACAGGCTGGCTCTTCAGCTTTGAAATGGAGATAAGCACTGCCCCCTAGAGTTGGGAACGACTAGCACATATGTCCAAGGGGAACCTTTGTAAGTATTTTCTATTATTTCAGGAGGGAGGTTTTCAGAAATGCACACACCCCAATATATATAGGTAAAGATTTCCCCGCACATATATACTAGTCGTTCCCGACTCTAAGGGGCGGTGTTCATCTCCGTTTCAAAGCCGAAGAGCCAGCGCTGTCCAAAGACGTCTCCGTGGTCATGTGGCCAGTATGACTCAATGCCGAAGGCACACGGAACGCTGTTGTCTTCCCACCAAAGGTGGTTCCTATTTTCCTACTTACATTTTTTACCTGCTTTGGAATTGCTAGGTTGGCAGAAGATGGGACAAGTAACGGGAGCTCACTCTGTTACGCAGCACTAAGGATTTGAATCGCCGAACTGCTGACCTTTCTGATCAACAAGCTCAGCTTTTTAGTCACTGAGCCACCGTGTCCCTGCACTTTACTCTCAAACTTTGATGAAACGGGTATTGTGCAAAACTCTCGGTATGCATGACCTGTAATGGGGATGGCTTCACTCCGTCCAAGGAGCAACAAAGCCCATCGTGCTTCTCCTTTTGCAGGAACAGCCACGGGAGTAGTGCTCGGTTGTTGTTTCCCATGTCCCTGAAATCAAGTTAAAAAAAAAATTATTGGAGATAAGAAAATGACTAAATCAAAATCGGGGCCCCATCATGTATCATCGCTAAACCACAATCATTGTTCAAAGCGGTGGAGGAGGCTATCCCCATTTTCCAAGCATAAAATCCAAGAAAGTGTGACGGAAAACATATACAGGCAGACTTGTTAGCCTGCGTTGAAAGAGACACATTTTGCCGGGGCTGCNGTCATTCTGGCTCCCTCTTATGGCCGATTGAGGAAACAGCAACCAATCAGATTTTACAGTATGATTTAAAGAAACAGGTACAACATTGTTACATGGTTTATATATTGCCAACCCAACAGATTATATTCTTAACAAGGCAGTCCTCGAGTTACAACAGTTCATTTAGTGACTGTTTATAAAGTTACAAGTTCACTGAAAAAAAGTGACTTACAGCCGCTGTTCACACTTAGAACCGTTGCAGCATCCCTATGATCATGTGATCAAAATTTGGGTGCTTGGCAGCTGGTTCATATTTATGACGGTTGTGGTGCCCCAGTCAGTGGGGAAACAAAATTCACTTCACTGTGTTATTAACAACAGCTGCACTGATTCACTTAACTGCTGTGGCAAGAAAGCTCCTACGATGGAGCACAATTCACTTAACTGTCCCATTTAGCAACACAAATGTTGGGCTGAATTTTGGTTGTAAGTCGAGGATTACCTTTACTTGCAGTTTCTGTCTAGTGGTAGATTACAGTGACCTTAAGTGGCCACTCCTGTCATGCCAATTTCACAATTTTGGTTGTATGGAAATTCACTCAGCCAGTAATAACCTCACCCTTTTTTAACCCTTTGCTGAGAGTCTTCATTTTTCCATCAGGAAGGCAACAGGGCTTCTGAAAGGGGAAATTTAGCTGAAATTGCATCCACTGCATGCAAATCTTAGCCTCTGGTCTGAAGAAGCACGTGCTTTCCTACATGTTTTGACTTTGCTTGCTTAAATCCCTCTCTCGTTTTGCTCCTTTCAAACAGACGCACAGAAATTCAAGGCAAAATTCGAAGAATGTAGGGGTGAAGTTGATAAAAAGGGAAAGAAAGGTAAGATGTTTGTATTCGCTTATTTCTGGGGGGAAAAGGGAATATTACCCTTCATAAGATCTGAAGCATTTCTTCTGAGATCCCTCACCAGTCAAAGAAGTAGCCAAGAGATACAAGTCTGCACCACATATTTTACAGAAGTGTATAAGATGTGTATAGGCTTCGTATGTGCTACCTAGAGCAGGCATGAGAATCGTGCATTCTATTAAAGGAGGTGTTCTGACCAAGGCTTCACGAAGCAAACTCCTTGTCCTGACAAAAACCCCTTTGATTAATTGAAACTGAATTCTGCTCATTCATATCTAGCAAAGTCTTTCAAGGGAGGATTTACAGTCACCTTATCTGCCTTGGAGAGCTGCCAGGCCAATATCCGCAAATCTTGGCAAGGAGCCTCAGTCACGAACCAATTAAGCGAAACAATGGTCTCCTGCAAACTCCACTCCCCTTTTGCTCCTCTTTTATTTTCTCTGGGAGGGGCCATTCATCATCCACTTTACTTTGTTGTCATTGTACATATATACCCAGTTTAAACATACAACTTACTCCCAAGTCAACCCCTTTTTTTAGTTGTTCCCTTTGTCTGGCCACTCTGCGCATGCACACACTGGGAACAGGCTCCAGCTATTCATCTGCCTCAATGATGTCTGACTCTGAAGGCAGCTGATAATTGGCATACGGCTCTGGCCCCCTCTCTGCCTCCGACTCAGAGCCCTCCTCAGAGCCTTCCCCAGACTCCAGGACTGGCCCATGTTCCTCCCCAACCTCCTCAGGGCCGCTGGTATGCCACAACAGGAGATAATTTCCCTTTCCCTGCCATTTAATACTCATTTTGTGCCAATTCTTAATTTTGCTTCTTTATGTTTTCCTTATTGGAAAATAAACAATAGAATTATTTTGACATTAATCATCCGTTCTTTCACACTTAGTTGTAGGGAATACATTCAGAATTTGTCTTGGGGTATATTCCTCTTTCATCTCAGTTGTTTCTTACTATTTATAGCTCAACTTTATGAAAATGTTCCAGTATCATTTAGCCAAATTGAATAAAAAGTCAGTGGGCTGCTATCCCACATGTCAAGTAGTCCTTGACTTAACAACTGGTCCTCTCATTTGCAACCATTGCAGCATCCCCACAGTCACATGATCAAAATTCAGGCACTTGGCAACTAATTTGTATGAGTGTCCTGGGATCACATGATCAATATGTGCAACAAAGTCAATTGTGTGGGGGGAGCCATATTCCCTTAACAACCATGTGATTCACTTAATGGTTTATGCAGACTCATAAAATTGAGTGATTCATTTAACTTATTTATTAATTAGACTTATATACCGCTTCATAGGGCTTTCAGCCCTCTCTAAGCGGTTTACAGACTTTTAGCAAATTGAGTCAGCAATTTGCCCCCACAGTCTGGGTCCTCATTTCACCCACCTCGGAAGGATGGAAGGCTGAGTCAACCTTGAGCCTGTGAGATTTGAACCGCTGAACTGCAGATAACAGTCAGCTGAAGTGGCCTGCAGTACTGCACCCTAACCACTGCGNTTTGTGGCAGCCCCTGAGATATTGGAAGACTGCTATCATGTCTCCCCTCGTCCTTCTTCTCATTAAACTAGACAGACCCAGTTCCTGCAACCGTTCTTCCTATGATTTAGCCTCCAGTCTCCTAATCCTCTGTTGCTCTTCTCTGCACTCTTTCTAGTCTCCACATCTTTTTTACACCGTGGCGACCAAAACTGAATGCAGTATTCCAAGTGTGGCCTCACCAAGGCCTTATAAAGCGGTATTAACACTTCACGCCAAGACTGGGTCTTAGTTTTTGTGCCAAAAGATGCAATAGAGCTTATTTTCTGGTTAGGTCTTATTTTTGGTGTAATAGGGTACTTAGACGCATCCATCTGGCTGACAATCTTAACTGGGGCTTATTTTGGGGTAGGCCTTATATTACCAGCATCCTGAAAAATCATGCTAGGACAGTGATGGTTAACCTTTTGATTGTTAATAACAATATTGTTATTATTTATTGTTTTATTGTTGGGTGCCAAAAATGTGTCATATATGGCACTCATAATGCAAAGCATGTCCCCTCATGCACATGCACGCACAACCCCCCCGTCCCCCCGCCACACACGCGGCATAACTCGCCACCAAGCTGAGCTTGATATTTCCTCTAGGGCAGGGGTCAGCAAACTTAAACACCCAAAGAGCCATTTGGACCCGTTTCCCACAGAAAACACCGGGAGCCATAAAACCCTTCCCGTGCCTTACTATTTCCTGAGCGGCCACAAAATCATCACACGTAGTTGAATTAAACATTAAATCATGTGCCAGCGGGGGTCGCGCATTGGCGGTTGTGACGCATATTTTGAGCAACAGGGAGCCGCAGCAGAGGGATGAAAGAGCCACATGCGGCTCGAGAGCCGTGGATTGCTGACCCCTGCTCTAGGGGGCTGGGGGAGGTTGGCCCGTTGGGCCCGTTTTTCGCCCTCCCCAGGCTCCGGAAGCATTCCTGAAGCCTGGGGAGGGCAAAAAGGGCCTCCCCCAGCCCCCCCAGAAGGCGAAAAATCAGCTGACACCCATGTGGAGCTGACGCTCGGGTGCCCATAGATTCCCCATCATGGCGCTAGGACTTATTTTTCCAGATGGGTTTTATTTTCAGGGATACAGGGTACCTGGTCAGTTTCCCCAACACTTCTTCACACTGCTTCTTCTTCGTCACTAGCTGGTCTTCGTAGGGCATCGCCCACAAAGGAGTCACCACATCCGCTATCTGCTTGCTCAGAGGCTCCTCCTCGCCGTTGTTGGACGAAGCCGGGCGCTTGGCTGACGCTTCTTCGGCGCCTTCCTCTCTCTTCCTCTTCTTCAAAATGGGATCCGCTTTGGGCTTGGCCAAGCGGACGCTCAGGTTCCGGTTCTTCCACCGGGCCCCATGGAGGACTTTCATGGCTTTGTCCCGTTCTTCCTCGCTCTTGAAGGTGACGAAGGCGAAGGTCTGTTTCCCCATCAGTTTGATCTTATGCGGGTGAAGTCCGTATTTGGCGAGGAATTTCTTGACTTCGTTAAAGCCGATGTACCTGGGCAGGTTCTGAAGTTCCACCTTGTAGATTTCCGAAGTGAACAAGTCCTCTTTAATGTACCTATACATGTTGGAAGTTTCTGAAGGGTTTTCCGTATTTTTTTCTACGCTCTGGACCGCCGATTCCGGAGTGGCGCATTTTGGATCCGCCGAGCGCACAGAGTCCTCGTCTTCTTCCATTATTTCAGCCACTCTAGAAAAAAGAAATAACAGATTTGACTTTCTCGCAGCGTGTAAGCCTTGAATCAAATCACAGGGGAGATCATTTTGAGGGTAAAACTAACTGAATGAATGAAAAGTCAGAAAACGTAATAATTCACAATTAAACTGCGTGGTTTAATCAAGGAGAGAAGCCACGTGTTTTGTTATTTTTTTGCTATTTCTGGTGCAATTTTGAAAGCTTTTGATTTCTATTGAAATACAAATGGCTGAAGAATTCTGGGAGTTGAAGTCCATCTTAAAGTTCCCAAGGTTGAAAAAGCAATAGGGGTCTTGAGCAGGAAAGCGGGGGGGGGGGGCACTCAAGGCATCCAATTGAACAAGGTGCTTTTCCATGGGAAGGGAGTGTTGACTACATCCCCCAGAACCCCTTGCGCAGGAGTCTTCCAACCTAGCGCCCTTTAACCGAGCCTCCTAACAAGCGGGGCCTTCCTAGATTCGCAATCCATGCGCATCCGGAGGGCGCCAGGCTGTGGAAGGTTGCAGGGGCGGCCCTATGCTCGGCCAGAAGCCCAAGGAACCCACCGCGCGAAACTTTCCACTCACCTCGCCACCGGGCCCACTAGGCGAGCGGCCTCAAAGACCCACTCCGAATGGCGCAGGCGCGGGAAAACAGGGCGGGGCTTCTAAGAGGACTAGGCCGGCATGACGCCGCTTGCACCGCTTCTGCCTCGCTTCGGCTTTTTTTTTGTTTTTTCCCCCTCTAAACTAAAGCAAGGCTGGAGGGGGGGGAATCCCCGTATGTGCATTCGTGTGCGCACGCGCGTGCGTAAGGGTGAGCGTGCCCCTCCTCCACGCAGCGTTGCGCCTAGAGTTGGGGGGGGGAAGTCGCGCACAGGCCGACGGGAAGGAGGGCGGAAAGCGCGCGCGCGAGGCCTCTCCTCGATACTTAAAACCGTTTTTCTCCCCTCTCTCTCCGACACGCGAGGAAGTTCGTCTCCCACCCGCGGAGAACGTCGTTAAGAAACCCCGCTGGGCTTATAAAAAACAAGCCGTCGAGGTTAGGCTCAGCCTTTTTTCCCCTCACTCCCATCAGCCTTTGCGGCGGCAGCGGCGCGGGCAGCACGCGGTGGGCGTGCCGCGTCGTCGTGTGGGCGGAGCCAAGGCGGCGCAGCGACGGAGCTCGCGGCGGGAGCGGGCAGCGGAGGCGGGAAGCCGCACGGCGACAAGGAGCGAACCCAACGGGGGAGCGGCAGCCCCACCATGGCCGAGACGAAGGTGAGGGGAGACGAAGAAGCGGAGGGAGAGGCGCTGAGGTAGAGGTGGCGGTTGTTTCCCGCTCCGCCTTTTAGGCCTCTCAGGCGCGAGGCGGCCTTCCCTCACCGGCTTGGGGGGGGGGGCTGCGGTGAGGGACTTCATTTCCCAGCATTCCTTGCCTTTGCCGGCTACGGCCGGGCCTTCGGAGAGTTGTAGTCCCGGCAGGGAGAGACGGGGTCCTGCGGCCTCGTGCTTTGCTCCTCCCTCCCTCTTTTCTGGGCCGTCCCATGTGTTCCGGGGGAGATGGAATGGGAGAAACGGCGGGAAGGATCCCGATCATGCCCCTCCCCTCCCAAAAAGCCCCTGCGCGGTGGTCTTTTAGTTGCCTCCATGGCTTGGGGGGGTCATTTTCGGCATTCCCGAGCCAGCCCCTCCCCCAAAATTGCTTCTTTCCCCCCCCCCCGCGAAGAATGGTTTCTCCCCACGAGGGTCTTTTCCCCTGGCTGGATATTAGGGCAGCCATCCCTGAGCCCAAAAGAGATGCCCGCCTATTGTTTCGGCCAGGGAGCCCTTCCACGCTGCACGGCCCCAATAATAATTATTAATTTAATTAATTACTAAATTTTCATGGCGCTCATCTCCCCTACGAGGTGACTCTGGCCCCCAGTGTGTTCCTGTCCCCCGTCCCCCCAATACACACACACACATAACAAGGATCCAAATTTCGTACTACTACTTTCCTGGTGCATTTTTTAAAAAAAATCATATCAAATTACTTTATTTTTCATTGAAAAGCCAGTGCCATGTCAGGATAACAATTAAAAATAAAGCAAAGCTAAAGAAAAATCAATAGTAAATCTTAACATACAGGCTAATAATTATAACAGTACTATATTAACAATAATTACAGTAATAAGACCAAAAGAAAAGAAAAAAGAGCTTTAACTAAATTTCTACTTATATTAGTTTATTTACAATTTTCCCATATTATATCCATAATTTTATACCTCTTTATTTTCCAAAGTAACAACGATTGACATTTATCAACTTTACACTCATTGCTACCTCCTGGCTCTATCCATTCATAAAATTCATTCCATGTCCTATAATATTTCAACTCTTCTTTATCTTTAATTTTTAAGGTTAATCTATCCATTTCAGCCCAATCCCATGGGGTGTTCGCATTTTTCCAATATTTATCATTTGCAATTCTTGCTGCAGTCAATACATGTAACACCCACATAAGGATCCAAATTTCGTACTACTACTTTCCTGATGCATATTTTTTAAAAAAGAATATTAAATTTCTATGCCGGTCTTAAACTTTTGCACAACATTCTTGTGGCTTCCTAGGTTCGCCAGTCTTTAAACTCTGGAATCCCCCTTTGCCTTCTTCAAAATGATGGGTTTAGTTGGACTGGGTTATATCTATTATGGAGGTGTTCTGTATTGGAAATTAAAACTAAGAAAACGTTAAAATGTTTGTTAATTTGACTTTGTGAATACCAGCAAATATCATGAATACCCCAGGGGTCCCCAGGCCACTGTTTGAGAAGTGGTGGGCTAAGCGAGTGATTAAGTGATTTCCCTTAAATCGGGTTTTCAGGTTCCAGATTGCTGTAAAAAGAATTGCAATATGTGAAAGTCATTTTGGGCATCATTATTTGTTTCAAGGATATATATTTTTCTCAAGTGCAAAATAAAGTGCAGATAAGGTTCAATTCTGGAGAAGGAAAACCTTGAGGTTTTAAAATCCTCTTTTGTATAGTAGCCATCAAATTCCAATTAATCTGTTCTCATTCTTGGTTTTTGACTAAAGTACAAACAAGGGAATGCACAATTTTTTAATACTTTTATTTCTCAGCTGACCACTGCCAAAGACTCCTGAATAAAGCCTCAGTTTTTTGTGGCAGCATCCTTTTATTGATGTTTTTATGTATTCTTTTCACAAATCTGTGGTGTTTATTCCTTGGACGAGGAAGGTTCTCCACCCAATTAGGGTAAATTTTTAATACGGTTGGATGTCAATTGAGGAGCACCATATATGCCTATATTTAGAAGTGTTGCAAGCTGGCACTCTTTCTTTTCTAAAGCTTAGAAAGTGATAATATAACTAAAAACATGATTTGGAGATTTCTGCTTGTGAGATTTTTGAACTTTGTGTTCTTTTGAAGTTCTGTAAAAAAAACTGCTGTTGTTTTCAGAATGAAATAGGATTAAATTGGTGCTCTTAATGAAAGGCAGATGGTGTGTTTACCAGAATGTCTATCTTAATTTTTTGAAATGATCTTCTCTAATAAGCCTTCGGTGCATTATCCTCTCTTTAGCAGGAGGCACATGAGGAGCATGACTCAGCAACTGACAATGCTGATGACTCTAACCACGACCCGCAGTTTGAGCCCATCGTTTCTCTTCCTGAGCAAGAGATCAAAACTCTGGAGGAAGACGAGGAGGAGGTTTTCAAAATGTAAGCTCGAGTTGAAGCTTTCTGCAATTAAATTAGCAGGCTCTCCTAACTTTCAGGAAGGAAACTTTCCAGGTGTAAAACTGAAGTCCCACTTTTGTGGGAAATATGTGACAGGCTTAACTTTTAACAAAATGGGCTGTTTAAACTCATTCAGTATTGGAACTGTAGGACCGGTCCCCATTCTGTGGGCCACGGCCCACTTAGTGGGCTGTGAGGATTTGCAGGGGCACATCTTGTGCAAGCAGCGAGCATTTAAGTGAGCAGCAGGCACACATGCATGCCACTCGCACAAATGGAGCTGCACGCTTTCTGGCTGCTCACGCAGAACCTTTTCCCTCCTGGCCAGAAAAGTTGGGGGACTCTGCTCTAGGACAGTAAAGTTGATGGAGTAAGTAGACATGGCAAAATTGATTCTCTAAATTAAAGAATTTACCTAGTTTTGTTTCTACTTGGAGACTACTTCTGTACTTTCTACTTGAAACTGTGGGGGTGAAATCTTTGAGTTTAGGTTTCGAAGATTAAAATGATTTAGTAATGGATAGAAGTAACTTTTAAAGTTCAGAAATTTAAAGTAAAAGGTCAGTGTATTATTTTTTTAATCTGCAGCACTGAAGAAAGTCAGAAATCATTACTTTTTTGTATGTTTCTCTCTCCTTTTCTTATTTTCCCAACTTTTGTTTCTTCTATATTTTACTTCATCATGAAGCTTAATTTAAAAAGTGTTGGAACTCCATTGTACCTGACTGAAACTGACTTAGCCATCCCAAAAGTAAATTTTAAAGGCATATTTTATTTCAAAGGAGTTTCTCTAGAGGCTTTTATCAAACGATGAATTCCAGGTTTGTGTTGTCTTATTAGTTATGTCAGTGATGCTAAAAGATCCTAATTCAGTATAATCTCTGAAATATTCATTGCCATTCATTTGACTTTTTTTTTTTTTTTTTGCACTTTATTTTTTCATGAAGGCGAGCAAAACTTTTCCGATTTGCATCAGAAAGTGACCTTCCAGAATGGAAAGAACGTGGAACTGGGGATGTAAAACTCCTGAAGCACAAAGATAAGGGGACCATCCGCCTTTTAATGAGGAGAGATAAGACTCTTAAAATCTGTGCAAACCATTATAGTATGTAATTTAGTATTCTTCTAGTTAAGATTGCTATATATGTTGGTTTTGTAACAAACTCTTTCTGAAGTCAAATTGATAGCTTCATTCTGCTCAATGGTTTTAGAAAACTATTCAAGGCCCAATTACTTTTATTTGTAGTTATAGGTTGTATTGTTAGAAACTGAATAATAGTGATAACATTGTGAAATATATTCGACAATATTTTAAATATGGATAATAGATAATTGGACAGTCATTCTTGTCTAGATAAACTTTTTGATCTTCCTTGCTGG